TTAAGTTTCGTCGGAACGAAGTTACGGAAAATTAATTAACAAACGGAGACGTAACAATTCCATCAGTTAGAAACACAGATAAAAATATAGTTTACAAAAACGAGCTTACCAGTGTTGCAGTCACCAATAACAGATTGTTTGTACAGTGCGTAAATCTCCAAAAGTTCCTCATCTGTTGGTTTGTTCTTCAAATTCTTCACATCCTCAGCAGCTTTATTAAACTTCTGTAAATGTCAAAAGTTCCTTATCAGTTTAAGCAAACAGAACAGAAAGAAGCAAAGACATATGTAATATGTTATTTGATGTATATTTTTTAAGCACAGACAGGTCTCTAGCTTTTTATTATTCTAACACCATATTAACAAATACCGAAAATCTCCAAACCAACACATAAGATACATGAATACATTTTTAAGTACTCCAAATGTTAGTTTTATTAGTTAATCCTTGCTATTTTCTAACTTAAACCAATATTATTACTCATGTATTTTATTTACAAATTATGTAATTTTTCATGAAAACCTATATATTACAGAAAATGGGTGCATAATTGTCTTGTAGTTACTAAAGAAATTTGTTATATTTTATCCATTTTAAACTAGAGCTTCATCCCCTATTTGAGATACAACACGCTTTATTAATCGAAGTGGATTGAGCGCAGGCGTAAACGTCAAAAAATTATCCTGTATGGCTTAATATCACAGTAAAATACGAGACTAACCATCAAAACATCATTGCAGAAAGCCTTCACCCACATGCACCTAATCAGCCTAAATCAGTTAACTCAAGGCACTGCTGGGGCAAAGTTTAAGTTAATTTAACTTACTCATTTTACAGTCTGAAGGTTACTTCCGCTCTTCTAGAAAGTCCTGCAACAGTTTACGCAGGTATGTTTCAACTGGTAATACTTAATATGCCTGGCATGCAAACGGCTACTTAACCGTAATTTGGACTGCTGTTTATAAAAAAAAAATGGCGGCTACTTGTATGGCAATGACAGAATAACATTCGACAAACAGTCAAAAGACACAAAAGAAGTCGTGTGCTCACTTTGTTTTTTACGTGTCTCGCCTTGTTCTAGCTTGAGAGTTGGATCGCGATCATTCCGTTGGTTCAGTTTTACGGCACTTCCTGTATTTACATTAAATGATTAATTGTGTGGTGACTAATGCTAAAACTTGGCTGGACTTGGCAAAGTTTCAACCTCAATCACTGTGATATACAGTTTTTTAGATGTCTCAAAGCATTCACAAGTACATCGATCGAAACGTTCGTTCATGGTTTTTTATGGTATTTCTTGTAATGATCGCTAGAGGACGTCATAGATCGGAATCCTTCGGTTTTACAGAAATAGCCGAACAAAGTTTATTCGTTCCGGCGAAAATGATTGATTCAAAACATGGTTCAAAAATCAAAAACACTAAGTTAACAAACTGACTTCCTGTACCAGCAAAAGAATTTCACTTCACAAATTCGTTTCGGCCCTGACCCCCAGGAGGAGTGTTGCGCCCCCTACATAAAAGTATTTTAGTCCTTGCTTTCTCAACTTTTCTCCTATCACGGTACTAGATTTGAATAAATTGTGCTTTTTCAATTTCATACCTTTCTAAGAACTTCTAAAATACTTTAAACGATTGAAATTGTTACCCCCCCCCCCCATGTGAAATTCGAAGTTTGATATCATAATGACGAAAACGCTCTTGTATACATGCTCTGGGTTATGCCCGCCCACCAAAAAAAAATCGTTCCCTAGTACAGACAATTGACTCACGCATTTACGTAGATCTGCGCTGTTTCAATTCAGGAGGTAATCGAATATAATGATACTAATTGCTAATTCCTACGTTATTTTCTTCTAACTACTCACTAATAATCTTACTTTAAAACACATAAAACCGATACCAACACCAACAAGTTATAACTGTCACTCTTAAATTTCGTTAAATGCTAAGTTTACTTCTGTTATATATATATATATATATAGTGTTCTTTTTAGTACATGTGACGAAAATATCACGCTGGCTCCAATTATAAGTCCGAATGAAACACGCAAAGAAAGTGAATTAGTGAAAAATAAGTGCAAGAACTTTCAAATATCACAGATTTTCACTGGACTGTCCTGAAGCCTTCAGTAGATGTTATTAAGATTGCGACATATACGTAAAGAAAAGAAAGTCAGAGGGAATTAAGTAAACACAGAGTAACCATTAGTAACCGTGCATTTCCTGGATTTTGAACATTCAGTTGTCATGGTGCTCGAGACAAGCCAGAGTACGTGAACTATTTAGTCTGCTGTGTGCTAATAGTAATACTATTACTATTTAGAATATTTTGTTGCTCTTTTATTTTGCTTCATTTAATGATAATCTAACATTCATAATCTCGTTTATATAGTTCTTACTTTATGAATTTACATATACTTATTTAGAATTATTTAAAAATAATTTTAAACTTGTTTTCCCATTCATTTTTTAAACGTTTGTCTTTTTGAACAGCAAGCTTGAAATAGTTCAAATGCGTATGCTTTTCTTAATTTAAGTTCAGTTAACTTAAGTTTAAAACTAGGGGTATGTACAATCCAGTTTTCTAGTTCTAATTACAATTCGAACTCACTGAAGTCTGTTATGAATAAAAAAAAAGGACTGATAACAATGATATGCCCTAAGTTACGAATATTGGTTACTAATAGTAATACTGGTAACAGTAATACTACTACTACTAGTACTGGTAGACTCATACAGTCATAGTCAGTCTTACAAGGTCATCAATGATGACATAGCTTACGCCCACAAAATTAAAAAGAAAACAGTGACGAATCTCAGAAGACTATTTGGCAAATCAAGGTAACCCCTCATCCACATAAAAAAAAGAAAATATTATTAAATATAATCCTTCAAATTCATGACATTCTCTGTCAATTTCTTCTTTCTTGACTTACGAAGCAGGATGCCAGTAACACCTTAGAAAAACTATTTATCACTTTAAATTTAATTTAATTTTTAAAACAGATTTAACATAGTTCACAACTATTTATTACGTTTATATTAATTTAATTTTTAAAACAGATCTAACCTAGTTCACAACTATTTATTACTTTTAAGTTAATCTAATATTTAAAACAGATCTAACTTAGTTCACACGAAACTATTATTATTAACATTAGCTCTGTAGTTTCTATACTAAGAATAACATTGTTTACTTTTTAATGTTATACAAAATATCTCACCTCATCAAGAGACATTTTCTACTTCTGCTCTACTTCTAGACTTCAAGTTACCTAGCACACTGAATTACTAACGGCCCTTTTCTAAACATACGTTATATGAAAACGCGCGTTTTTGTCACCATAGGAGTGATTGCAGCGCCACCTCAAGGCTTGATCACTTTTTTTTTTTACGCCAGAAAGGAAACCTTTAAAACTTTTAAGTACGATATAGTTACTGTTAAATTACCTGCGTTGAAAAAAAATATAAATTTCATCCTGTAATTCTGGCCTAAGTACATTCACAGTATGTAAAAATTCATTATTATGTCCGACAGTACAGGTACATGTATTCAAATTCGATGGATCGCAGTGAAAATACAGGTACATGTATGCTTGCACAACTGTACGAACTCCAAACCTTTCACAGAGCTTACATCTATTTGTCAATAGGACTCGGTCCAGGCGTTGCTAAGATACTTGGCACACGATGTTACTATTGCTTGTTTGCTAAGAAACGTACAGTTATTATTATGTACTAACTCGTAATGAAAACCAATTGGCTAGTTTATGAACATAGGTGGTGATAGTTGGGGTTAAAATAAGTACTAGGTAATTGGCAAGGTGTACTCGAGTGTATAAGCTTGAAAAAGTCAATGTTTTTTTTAACTTTATATAACGTTTAGAAAACAAAAAAAAATTAAAGAAGTGTATCCGTTTTCAGAAATTATATTGTAGAAAAGCACATCACGTTCCACCTTCTAAAAGCCACGAATCATTCTTGACCGTTGAGTTTTTGAAAAGAGAGAAAAAAAAAGACCATTATCTCTTCTAACAAGGAAACGTTCTAAAGTCATAAATACAACCAGAGGTACGCAATCGTGTCTAGTTTCCAAAATATCGACTATAAAAATTCTGTTTGGAGAAAAGTTTGTTCTTTACTTATTTCAGAATGTTGTGTGTGTGTGTGTTTAGTAGCAGTAACAACATCACAGGGAGGAAAGGGATAAGAATGGGGAGGGGGGAACATAGTCCTAAATATAATCACCCACCTACCTGTTCATCTCTACTAAATACTATAGCTCATAGAACATCATGTCTTCATGTACAAGGTAATTGTGGACGAGAAAACCCATCAAACGAAGCATGATCCAATCTTTAGTTAGTCTGTTACTTTGCAGCCAATCAAAGTAATAATGGCCCGGCATGGGCAGGTGGTTAGGGCGCTCGACTCGCAATCTGCGGGTCGCGAGTTCGAATCCCCGTCCCACCAAACATGCTAGCCCTTTCAGCCGTGGGGGCGTTATTATGTGACGGTCAATCTCACTATTCGTTGGTAAATGAGTAGCCCCAAGAGTTGGCGGTGGGTGGTGATGACTAGCTGCTATCCCTCTAGTCTTACACTGCTAAATTAGGGACAGGTAGCGCAGATAGGCCTTGTGTAGCTTTGTGCGTAATCCATAACAAATAAACAAAGTAATAACCGAAAACACTTAAAAGCTACTCATTGTGATCATCTTGATAATTTTAAGTTTACTAACACGAAAATAAAAATTCATGAAAGTATTTTGCAGGAAAATAATCCTACTTTAGAGCTTCCTAATTCATCTTTCATGACTATCCCCTTATCCTTTTAAAATAAGATTATAATATTTATACTAAAACACATCTCTCTGCTACCCTTTCCACCAGGCCATCCCAAACCCATTCCATTGATGGTTATATAGTGTACTGTTATACAGAACAATTAAAATTTATTTGGAATCCGTTATTGATAGCAAGTTTATATGCCGAATTGCAGTGGCAGGAATATTAACATGCTAAAATTTGAACTGTATATTCCATGCATTTTATAATGTACTCCTACACAAATACACAATATATATATATATACACTTTAATAGGTTTGAAATTTTTACTCCGTTCCTATACTTCAACAACTCACACAAACCACCCTGAAATTGAAAGGAACGGTGTAAAAAAAAAAAAAGCAGTTGGATAAGCGAATGATAATTCCTTTTACCGCCTTCACAAGATTAAGCTAGCGAGCGGATTTTACTGTTCTTGACATATGTCAGTATGACTCAATGCGTTTACTTAAATTCATTCATAATGCACAATGTGTATATTTATTTGTGCTTTTTAGAAGAATATATATATATATATATACTATTTCTGGATAACCCTTTCCGATTCATTCGTCAAGCTCCTCTGTAGTGTAGTTGAATTGGAAAAACATGTATACATCGTAAACAGCAGTCGTTGTTCAAAGGCTATTTCCAGAACACGGTTACCTTTGGCCTCCAGACCTTTATCTCAACAGGTGCATTCCGTTATCAGTCTCGCAATCATAACAGATACACTTTCAACTGGGAGGTTTCTGTTTACCAGGCCTAGCATTTTGTTTCATTCACGTATAACAAAAGGTAGTAACTAGAAAGTCTTCCCGTAACCGCTCTGTTACAGATTCATTAAGATTTAAAGTACACATACACTTTATAAACCTTATGCAGTAGATGTGATGACTTTGTTTATCATAAGTGTTACACTTGATAACTTTCTATGAAACCAGTTTTACCCAATTTTTGTTAACAGTATTTTGTTCTTTCGTAAAGACCTATAGAACTTTTTTTTTTTAATGTGAGACCAGTTAAACTGGTACGAAATAGATAGGTTATAGAATGATAATTGCAAATAATGGAATTTCTATTACTAATATAGTTCACAAAGTATCTCCAGAACCGTAATAAATGTATTTATGATTTATCTCTTTATTATTTAGAAGTTTCATACAATTGCTTGCTTCTTTGTGATACTGGAATCTCTCTTATCTCTAGTGAGTGAAATTATTTTATCATTTCAATATATATTTATGAATGCAATCTGCAACGTTTTTTTACCAAGCTGTATATAGAAATATTTTTTTCCATCTTCATTGTATCCTTAATTGTAAGAATGGTATATTCTTGTGTGTGTTTTTTTCGTTTTCGTCGATTGTTTGTTTGTTTCTGAATTTCGCGCAAAGCTACACGACGGCTATCTGCGCTAGCCGTCCCTAATTTGGCAGTGTAAGATTAGAGGGAAGGCAGCTAGTCATCACCACCCACCGCCAACTCTTGGGCTACCCTTTTACCAACGAATAGTGGGATTGACCGTCACATTATAACGCCCCCACGGCTGAAAAGGCGAGCATGTTTGGTGGGACTGGGATTCGAACCCGCGACCCGCAGATTGTGAGTCGAGCGCCCTAACCACCTGGCCATGCCGAGCCTCGTTTTCGATGAGCACTCTAAATTTCGGGAGGTAGTGTTTGTCTTATATTAATGTTTTTAAAATATTTAAATATTTATTTATTTCAGAAACTATTTCAAATGATAAAAATTGCGTGTCTGTTGTGAGACCGTGATGTTTCATATAAATTAAGAAGTGTTTACTGGTTTTAATAAATACATTTAGTAAGTTTTTTTGTTTTTTTTGTGGACAGGTAGGACTGAACCTTGTATTTGTTGGTGACAACGTTTGGGGCTCCATTTCGATCTCTTTTTTCGGACGTAACACTGTCTTCAAGGATAAATTGGTTTTAATAATGTTTTCCTCTTTTTTTTCTCAGTACTTAACACATCCACTCCTAATTTCTTCTTTGGTAGTGTGTCCTAATTTCTGATTATAGACGTATATAAAGGACATGTACAAATAGAATGATCACCATTTAACTACTTCCTTATTATAAAACAACGGAATGGTAACACCCCATCTTTATATTTATATCAGAATTGTAACTCATCTATCGTGAATTATCCTGTGATGTTTGTTCAGTCTCTGCAAATGATGGCTCGTTACACAAGTCCAAGAAAATGATGATTCTGACGCAAATATGTACTTGTACGTATATGAGTGAGTATGGTGAGTGGCATATCTACATCCATGAGGAGATGTTTAGCTATAGACATCTTATACTTCCACGCGTATTTAGTTTTCCTTCAGTTCACATAATTCTGAATACTCTTCATACGTGGGTCCACTCCAGAAAGTATTTTTCTGACTTACTTAACTTCATTATCTAGGTCTTTTCCTGAGATCTTTTTCTTGAATTGTTCAACTCCATTACCTATGGGTCCTTTCCTGGAAGTATTTTTCTGATTTGTTCTACTCCATTACCTATGGGTCCTTTCCTGGAAGTATTTTTCTGATTTGTTCTACTCCATTATCTATAGGTCCTTTCCTGGAAGTATTTTTCTGATTTGTTCTACTCCGTTATCTATAGATCCTATTCTGCAATTTAATTTCTGACTTCTTCAACTCTATTATCGATAGGTTCTATCTTGGGAGTTTTTTCTGGCTTTTTCAACTCCATTATCTATACGTCCTACCCTGCAATTCTTTTTCTGACTTGTTTAATTTCATCAGCTGTAGGTCCTATCCTGCAAACTAATTTCTAAACTCTTCAACTTTATCATCTATAGATCCTATCTTGCAATCTTTTGTTTGTTTGTTTGAAGTTAAACACATAGCTACACAATCGAAACCCGGTTTTTAGCGTTTTAAGTCCACAGATTTACTGATGAGCCACTAGCTCCTTTTTTGAGACTTGTTCAACTCTATTGTTGTTACGTGAATAATTAGAGGTCACATGAGGGCCACTAAAGTCATACACTGAGCACACTTAAATTTAATTTGTAGTACAGTCATCAATGCGCAATGAAGAACTTCAGTAAGAGTCCAAAATGCAGCGTCATGAAACATTTTAAGATCTAAGTGAGTTTATTCAAATATCAGGACGATCATGGCATGCAGATTTTATGGTACGTGTTGTATATTTTGAAAACATTTACACAACTAAGTATATTGTTGTTCACGTAAGTTGATTTTTTGTGCTTATGGATATTAGAATTTCACGAGGTATTCAAAATAAGTTTAGAAAACATTATTGAGATACGTTATAGCGTGGACGCTTTTTTAAACTGTCGAAGCTGTCTTGGTTAATTCTGGTCTTGGTAATGGATATGGCG